ACCGGCTCTGGTGGAGCTGCGAGGTCGTTAATTCGCACGAAGGTCAACTCTGCGACAAGCCTATTCGTATCCCCAGCCAGGAGGATCTCCTTCATGGCTCTGAACTGGTTCATTAGCCGGGGCCCGAAGATTCTCTTCGGAACATCGGCCTCCGTGGAGAGAAAGACATCCATGAGGGCTTGTGCGGGAACGACGTTGAAGGTGCGAGTTGCAGAGCCGTCGGTACTGAAGGGTACGCTCTTCGTGACACTACGGCCGAGATGTGCCTGCCCATCGGGGCTTGGCCACTGCCATTTCGGTTTGCCAAGGGTCCAGACATCTTCAGCAGCCCTGAACATAGACAATGAGTTCAAGGACTGGCTGGGGCGCCTTTGTCTAGTCTCATCTGCCTCGAAGTACAGGCCAACGAAATCTGCCAGATGATTGACAAAGTCGTTCATGTCCTCCTGGAACAAGACCAATAAAACAACAATCGTGAGCTGACACCCTATACACCCCAAGGCGCTAAGGATGCTCCAGAGTGACCCAACATGTGCCATTGCTTATTGCAGCTGTCAGACCCGATCAACACACAATAACCAAGTCGAAAATCACAACACTACCCAGTATTCCTCATGGTACATCGTCAAGCCGAGGGAGACAACGGCATCGAGAAGGGACTTGCCAGAGACCAGCTTGCTTAAGGAGTTGGCGCCCAAACGCAAACGAAGCCTGTTTTTGATTTTCGTCACCTCGTCAGCACTCATGTTCGCTAGGCTGGACCCCAGCAGCGCGAGCGAATCACCATGGTATCGCTGGACTTGGTCAGAGGTCTCACCCTCGCCTGACCTCCCTGATTTCACGGATTTCACGCTCTGGTGTCCCGCCAAACTCGTCGGGAAGGACGGGGATACTACACTTGCCGGGCTAGCTGGGTTGGACGTTGCAAAGGAATGTCCAGCCGAATACTCAAATTGTGGCATTGTCCCTGTGAGGCAGATGCTCAAGAGCTGTTCCCGAAAGCCTTCCCAGGATCTGTCGAGTAATTCTCCGACGTCATCTTTGTGCATAGCTCTTCGCCAAGGCCTTAAGCCGGGCGGAGCTCTGTCCGAGGCTCTACACCTCTGAGCCACAAACTTGAGCAAAGGAGGGTTTTATGCAGCAGCTTCTGACTCTGAGCACTCTCAGGGACCGGATCTCGAAACATGCAGCTCTCTGCTTGCTACTGTAGACGAAGATATGACGCTGCCGGCCTCGTTCCACACAGAAACACATGCAATGAGCGCACGTCAAAATCTGCAGTAAGCAATAAACAGTCACGCTGGCGTTCGAGCTTCTGATAGCAATCGACGTATGGTACGCATGTCGCAAGCTCTAGTTGCTCTGGATAAATGCTCACTACTCAAGATCTCCCTCTGCAAGACTACAAGATGTGCTCAAGGAAAACAAACGGGCCTTATTCGGGTTGTCCACACTGCTGGGTCACTAGCCAAGCCTAGTAACAACGATGTGATCAGATTCTTGCTAACTAATTAACTTGATTGCATTCAGGAGACAGCATTGCTTCAAGCTTTTGTTGCGGTACTCGCGGTGTTTTCCTCGCATGGTCGTTTTTGCCCCTCTACCGGGCCAACCTTTTCCGTTGCATCATGGCAAGAAAACACAGTCCACGAAACTCCTTGCCGCCGTGACGCCCAACATGTGTCGCTCTGTCTAACAGTATAACATATCGGCTCCACCAGCTGCAGGCAAGACGCAGACTTGTGAGAAATGCGTACACCTTGTCGGATTTCCGTGAAATCTTGTCTGGCTAACACCCCCATGTCCTAGACAATCCCTAGATAGCCGTGCAAGCATGATTTCGGACCCGTGCTCGCGCTGTCGGTCCAGGTACCACAGGACTGGTGATACGGCGAGCTGGAGTTCGCATCGCCTGCCTCTGCCGAGGCTTGAAAAAATTGCCTAACGCAACCTTAATCTCGATGCCCCTGTGAAACTGTAACGCGGAAAGTCTAACTACTTGCCCAACAACAGTCGGGCGACCACCGTTGATGGCTCGTCTAGTCACCACGGACTGCACCGCCGTCTGCAAAGCGTCCAGTTCCTACTGCGCCACTCGCCACTGCATGCCTTGGTGCGCTTGCGCGTTGCAGATTGCATCTCTTTCAGTTCATGCTTGCTTGCAGTAGACATGGATGGCTACACACATCCGCACCGAGTGCCCAATTTCGTAGCATCCATCCTCTTGTCCTCTTCGCTCTCTGTCAAGTATAAAAATGTCCTTCTTCGTCTGCCCGCTTCCTGAAAGTACCTTCACAGTCTAGCTAGAAACCAATTTCTGGACAGTGGAGATTCTCAAGTCCATCCCCCTTTCCTTAACCTGCGCCAGTACTCTTCCTTTGCCTGTAACGAAGACCTGTGCCTCGCTTGTGGGAGTCTTGGTTTCCAGTTGGCCTCCAGTGGTTCCTGTACAACAACGTTGACTTGTGCCATCCTTGTCGATCGCCGATCGTGCGCCAGTTGGTTCCGACCTCTTCCCACCCCTCAATCATGGGCAGCTTGCAGAATGCTTGGCACACTGTCAGGATGCTCCCTAAACCCTAAGCCCTGTGGCACTGCTATGGGTCAGGGCTGTCTAGGATGCCGCAGCCTTGCTAGATCAAGTGGAGGGACCATAAAGTTCGGACTTGGGCATCGCATCAAAGGAAATTTTCTATACATACATGTGCATGTATTTGCATAGATATGTATACATATATATATATATGTATGTATGTATACACAATACACTTATATTTATACACATGCCTACATACACACATACACACATATGAGTCGGCGTCAAAATTACTTGTTCATGCTGCTGTTTTTGAACTAGCGCGTCCCCTATCGTTTTCCGAGGAATTCGCCTAAGGCACTTGCAGGGACCAAAGTATAAGTAACCCTATCGTTTTAGCGCGTCCCCTATCGATCTTGGGGCTTCTGGCTCAACAAGTACCCTCTACACTAAACTACATTAACGATAATTTTGACCCCATCTCATATGTGTTGGCCTGCTTGTGCATGCATACATGCCACACGTACACACAAACATACAATCATTCAATGCTTCATCTGTGCGTACCCTTGTCGTTACCAAATTTGGAGCCTCGGCGACAGTCCTCAAAACTGAGGTGAGGGCCTATTTGCATGACAAGCATTGCTATGCAGCCCATGAGCAGGACGACCTGGCGCCACGTAGCTTGGAAGGCAGATAAATAGAGGAGCATCCAAAAGAAGAGGACCCTAATGGAACCCTGAATAAAATGGGACTTTGCAGCAGGTACCCTACGAGAAGTGTTCAGAAACCGCAAGATCTCCCGACACTGCCTGGGCCACGCACACAAGAATCAGAATTGCCACAAAGGCCTGGGGAGACGGAGCCGGGGCCTTCTTTCGATCCTTCTCGGGATCTCTGAGGTCACCCGTTTCCAGGGTTTTGTGGGACAAATCTAGGTCTGTGCATGGGCAATCTGACAGGCGGGATTCGCCGCTGCAGGTTGTGTAGCACTCAGAGAAGGGCAGGTTCCACGGTCCCGGCGAGGCCCCTGCCATGCGGAAGCAAGTGACGGCTACGTCCCGCCATTCGCGGTGCCCCGACGGATTGCTTGGTGGCCTCGGTGGCTGACGATTGGCAGCAACATGATGGCATCTGAGGATCAGAAACTGACGAAGTCATCTTGCGCGTCCACTCTTCAGCTAAATGGGTCCTCCTACACACGACATTGGGTACCTGAATCATCCAAAGTCCAACTCACAGAATGGTCAGGTTTCGCGGGAAACCCTGCGCTAAGTGATGCGCACGATGATCGGGCCGGGCATCAGAAACCCCCTGGACCTCACCGTAAGCACGTGAAAGCTCGACATGAAGCGGATGATGAGGAGTACGACTCCTCGCTGTTCTGCACACACTGCCTCCAAGCTGCCGGTACGGGCAGGTGACCTCCAAGACCCGAATTGGTGGGGAGAGCACCTCTCAGTCAAGGTCAGAGTTTGAGAGTAGTTTGACTGTGGAATCAAGCTGGGGTCAATGTTCTAGATTTGTAGAAACGTAACAGCAGATGCACAATCATCGTCTCGCGACCAGATGCCTTCTGCCACTCAGCTTTTGTCTCATTGAGGTCAGCCCAACGCCTCGCTCGGGGCTTTCCACGAAAGCATCAGGTACCAGCCAGCGAGGATCATCCTAGGGCCCTGAGTCCTTGACCAGTCGTACTTGCAGTGCATCAAGGAAACCTGGCGAGGCATCTGGACGATAGCCTCGAAGAGCCTTGGTGCTTTCTGCTTGAAGCCGGACCCGATCGCTCCCACGTTAAAACATGATGAGGGCATCACGTCAGCCAAGTTTGTCCATCGCTCCCGAAAAGCCTGCAGAGCACGATTGCTCAGCAAACCCCTGTCGCGGTTCCGGTTTGGAGTTTTGAGTCCCATGCGGGAGCACCATAGTAGAAAGGGTTTTCAGGAGGTATAGGGTCTAGGGAGGTCTAGGGCCTAGCCTCGGAAGAAGGCTACTGTACAAGGCGCGATGATGCAAGCCTGGGGCTCTCTCCCTGAGTTCAGCCTTCCTTTTAAAAGTAATTACTGAGGACTGTCCGTGATGGCCTTAGTCGCAGAAGTCTAATCACACCGGCAACTTGAAGTGGATCTGCGATCTACACAGAAGACAAGGTTGCCCGAAAGCCACCGTTGAACCGGTGCTGGTAGCACTGCGACGGCAACAGGTGAGCACAAAACACAGCAGAGCACCTCGCCAGCCGCGAGGGCTGTGGATTCGGCGATGGGAGCCTGAGCCACGGAGTCCCGCAGTCCACAGGGTTTAGGCTTAGGTTTGGTACAAGTACCGAGGAAGGTCCTGGAAGACGAGCTTCTGAGCCAGCACCTTTTCGCAAATGTTGCTCCCCAAGTCCACCCGAGCGCGTCCTTGAAAATTCGTCCGTCCCAGCCAGCACGAATGCAGAAGTGCTGCCGGTTTCGAATGCTTGTAAGGACTTTGTGATGACAGATGTGCCTCCCAACCCAGTGCATCCCAATGTTCAATTAATTATGGCGCGGCTACACTTCAGACCTGGGCAATTTCAAGGCGAAGGTCTTAGGCTTGTCGAGAGTAGCGGACTTTGCTGAGGCCCTCAATAGGCGGAATGCGTCCGAAGACAACAAAACATCGCTGTCTATGCAACCTGCATGAAGTTGGGCGGTCACGGTTGAACCCTTGTACAGCAGCATCTGCAGCCTAGTCTGTCCGGCTGTCTAAATCCACCTACGGCCATCATTCAGCTCACAGTTGCAGACTTTCGCTTGGTGTGCTGGGTTCGCGTCAAGTCGAATCACGGCGCAAGCGACTGTGAACCGATGACTTTGAAACCCCGCCAAAATGCGAAGGTGAAACGTCGGAACAGATTGCAAGCCTCTTGCAAATGTTGCTGGCCCCCCCTCCAACTCTGAGAGTAGCTTAGATTTGTCAAAAGAATACAGCGACTACCAGAGATCTTATCTGGAACCTGAGACTGAGGGTGCGACCAGTTAAGCCAGGCCTCTGCTGGCAAAAACTAAAACTCAAGCTCCGACGAGCATTTAATGATACCTTAACTCTTCTATCGCGCCCGGATGTAAAGCCTCTTGGCCAGCATCCCGCCTCAGACTCAAAGATGCTGACACTCCACTCTCCCATGGGCGTGCGGTCCTACGAGGTTTCTGCCAGGTGGCCTTCAGCGGGAAGTGTGACCTGCCCAGAGTGGTTAGAGATGCGCGACAGCGAAAGCAATCGGACTTGCAATAAAAACAGCTAAAGCATGAGTAGTAGTGACAGTAGTGACGGTGCTGGTCGGCCTGTGGTGGCCATCGTAGTAGAAGTAGTAGTAGTAGT